AACAAATTTAGTCTTAGGAAACAGCCAAAGCGCTTCCAAAAGCTGCTCACGGGAGGGACTGCACCCCAGCAAACGTGGGAACCCCCCCCCCTCTGCTTCCATGTGCAATAACAGGGCTTGCAGTGCACCCTAGGCAAAAAAATAATAGCTCTTTTTGCTGGGAGAAAAGGAAGGATAATGGTTACTTAGAAAGTGCTCCAGACAAGCTGTCAGGTTGAATTCAGAGAACTGGAGTCTGCTCTGGGACAGCGCTGGCTCGGGGTGATCCCTTGTGAGTTGGGTTTCCTGCCTGCTCCAGCTTAAAGACAACGATTCTTTGTTTCCAGTTTTTCTGGTGAAAAAACACACGCCTGCCTCCGAAGAGGGTCAGGGAGAAAGCAGACAAAACACTAACTCTGGAATTTCAAAGGAAAACAATTAAAAAAAAAAAGAAAGAAAAAAAAAAGAGAGAGAAAAATCCAAGAGCACTAGCTACTGTCTCTCCTGAAACCATAAATCCCTGCTTTGGCCACACAGTTGCAATAAGAGAAGCACCAAAAAAAAACCCCAAAAAAGCCTCCCCTTTTTTCTGCTGAGGAGCTAAAAACGGGCAGTTTCATCACCAGGCACACAAATATCATCGACAAATGTTTTAGTGTGTCCAGACGACCGAGAGGGGATAAAGCAGAGACTGCTTTTTCTCTGTCAGGACTAAGGCTGGAGGGTTTCTAAACCTTTGCTGTGAACAAGGGGCTTTTACTGACACCTTTAAGAGTTTCATGAAACGGGTCGAGGTTTTTCACACGGCAACATTTTAGGCTTGAAAATCAGCTTTTTTTTTCAAGAGAAGGATTTTACGCAGGAATTGGAGGCTCCTCTGTGGGAAACCTGCTGCCTGTGGGCTCTCTGCGCCCCCTCATCCCGTCCCCCTCTTTTTGAACCCGTTGCCCAAAATTGCCACTGAATTTGACAAGCAGGAGAGAGGAGTTTTTAAAGAGTTCCTGCTGGTTTAAAGGGAACTGCTGGGGAAAGAGGAGCCAGACTGCAGCCCCGACGGTGAGAAAAGCAGCTGCACAGGCTCCTGTTTTGTTAGGTCCCAGGGAGATGGATCTTAACTCTCCAACATCAGGAAACTCTTCCTCAGGGGCTCGTGATGCGATGGGTACAGACCCCCAGGAAACCTCCCTGGGTGAGTGTCAGAGCTCCCTGATTTCTTTGCCACCTTCAGTTTGCCAGCAACCAAACAAAACATCAGCAAACACACCTCACACCCAAACATCCTTATCCTTCACACCGGCACTTCAGTAAGGAAACAGAAACATGCAATAGCCACAGACTAAATCCTGAATATTTGTTTCCTACCTCCATATTTATGTGCTCATGTATAAATTTTTATTCCTCTTTGAAAATGCTGGTAGCACATCCCTTTTTCCTGTATTCTATTTGAATTTAGGTTGGATTTATGAGACTTTGGGCTAGTGCTGGTTTACTATTCTAAGCTAACTGTACTATCATAGGCTCATAGAATGGTTTGGGTTGGAAGGGACCTTCAAGATCTTCTAGTTCCAACCTCCAATGCCATGGGCAGGGACACCTCCCACTAGACCATCCAACCCCCATCCAACCTGTTCTTGAACACCTCCAGGGTTGGAGCATCCACAGCTTCCCTGGGCAACCTGGGCCAGGGTCTCACCACCCTCACAGTGAGGAACTTCTTCCTCATTTCTCATCTAATTCTCCCCTCTTCCAGTTTGAATCCATTAACCATTGTCCTTTCACCACAAACCCTTGTCAAAAGTCCCTCCCCAGCTTTCTTGTAGACACCCTCCAGATTCTGGAAGGCTGCAAGAAGGTCTCCCCAGAGCTTTCCCTTCTCTCTATTGCCTGACACATGCAGAGGACAGCACACGAGGATAAAGACTCATGTTGAATGCAGCCTTTTAATCAAGATCATACATAACCTGTAACCTGGAGGAAAACAGCCACACACAATCCCTCCACCCTTACCAGCTGAGCTTTCCTTCACCCCACGCTGCCCCCCCACTGCACAGTGCCCATTTCACCATGTATTGCCACATGTTCCAAGGCAGCACACACCCCACACCAGACCCCCCGACCTGCCTGTTTAGACACAGCTTATTTTACACATCAGCACGTCCTGATGCTGCCTCTTTGGAAGCTGGCAGCTTCCAAACCCTGCTTGGGTTCAAATCCTGCACAGCACTGAGGCTTGTACATGAAACACAAGAGTTATGCAGACCCCGACGTATTGAACAGCAAGTGTGGACTTTAAAAACGTCTTGGATTGAGGCCAGAATGCTCACAACCATACAGGACACAGCCCTTTGGCCTCCTAAACGTTGTTGTATGTGAATATATTTTCCATTTCCCTATGGAAACCTGCTTAAATGACACCATTCTGAAGGCAAGCCATTTAAAACCTCCACGGACTCAGGCAGATAATGTGGTCTCACATTCTTCTCCTGTGCCTGCAGCACCTACAGTAGGTCACTCATTGCTCCAAATAGTCACAGAAAACAGAACAGACCATCTCTTTGGGATGTGGGACACAAATCTTTCCATTCAGCAAGGAGAACAACCTCCTTTCGTTTTCCAGAAAAATGGTTCTCGAGCCAAAAAAATGCTGGTGATTTTCATTAGAGCAATTTGTTTCTCAGAGGCAGCTGAAGACAATTTGTACCCATGACTCTAAATACCATACTTTGGAGTGTTTATGAGGCTGAGAAGCAAAGAAGCTCAGGCAACAAGAGTCCTCTGGACACCTATCTGACTTGAGAACCAAAAAAACCCAATTTGCACGAGCAGGTTATTTGCTTTAGCCGTGTGATCTTCGAGAGCGTGCAAGAAGAATTGCAGCAGGAGGGAAGGAAAGAGATTTTTTTTCCTCTCTCTGACATGTATTGTACTATTTCATCACCTCCTGCTTTTGAATCCTCAAGGGAAGGTGGTTAGAAAAAAAAATTGTTTCTCTGTTTCTGTTCACAGATGTTGAGAGGAGAAATATTTACAGGATTAGTAGATTCAAGATGCGTTAATGTAAAGAAAAATCTTTCCTCTTTTTGAGAAGTTGAGGAGACCAGAAAATGCTTCTAAAATGCTAGTTTTTTAACCTGAAATTCCTCTTCCTCTAGAATATCATCATCCTGAAGTGATCTCACTAAAAAGCCTTAAAAGGAAGCAAGGAAAACCTTGTTGCCCAACAGCCTAGGCTGAGGCTGAGGAATTCCAAGCCCAGCTTTACGTCCGTCGCGAGTCTCTTTGGTGATATTGGACTAGACACTTCACTCTGCTCCCCCAATTCCTTATCTGTCAGCCTGTCATGTTCACATGCCTCTTATCCTGTCACCTTATCTCACCAATCATATTTGGGGCATGAGTGAGCTGCAGTAGGTGGAAGGGGGTCGGTTTATCCTAGAGCAGCACTCAGCCATCAAACGCAGGCGGGGGAAATTTATGCATCTGAAGAGGGATAGAGGGGATTTCAACATTTCTAGGCTGGTTCTTAATTTTTATTTGCCTATCCCAGGGGGGTGTTTAGTCCTTTATTGACACACGATGAAAGTACCACGTGAAGTTAAAAACGCCTAGCTGACAGAAATCAAACTCAAACTCCTGTCAGCTGCACTAAAGAAACACACCCGAGGGCTGTAAAAAAGGAGGAACATTTTTTTTCCCCCTCAAGTTTCTTTCTGCCTGAGTGACTGGAGGCCCAGCTCACAAAGATAAAGGGTATCAAAAATTCAGAGTGTAATTTTACGCAGAGCATTTCTCTTTAATAAAAATAATAAAAAAAAATGGTAGTTTTCTTCCCTTTATTTTTAGCAGCCACCTGGCCCGAGACAGAAAGAGCCGAGTCTTGGATGCTCGTGGGTTTCTGGGGGAAATTGTGGAGGGACACGTGTGTGTGTGTCTGTTTTAGTCAAATAGGAGCCAGCCTAGCCTTGATTCATTTTAAATAGCTGACTTTTAGCATCCAAGTGGCCAGTCACAGCAAAGCCTGCGTGGCTTTGCCACTGTAATGCACCAACTGGGGTCTGCCTCGTAAAGAGAGGACACATGCCAGGGAACAGGCAGCTCCAGCAGCTAGTGACACGCCAGACAAAAGGAGCTGCTGTAAAAACCAGCACTGATATTCTGCTCCAGGCTCCGAGGCAGATGTTGGAGATGAAATGCAGTGTGGTGCAAGGAGAAAGAAGTGCTGGCTCTAAGAGCAGTGCTAGTCAGTAGCTTGTTAAACGTGTGAGCTCGGTTTGCTGTAGCCTTTCACTGAAATCTGGGGGTTTGTCTTAAAAAGAAAAGACTTTCTGCCTTTTCCTACTATTCTTTGAAATGCAAACGTGTGGCTCCTCAACGTTCACCTGGAAAGCTTAGAAATGTTTGTGAGGGAACTGTCTCGGCAGGAGAGGAGGCTCTAGGTGGGTTCTCATATGGCAGACGTTGGATTTCACACTTCCCAGAAGCTTTTCAAATGGAGCAGCTGAACACAACTGACATTCTTCTAGTTACACAAAGATGTCTTATGGGATGTGCATCGTGCCCATCTCACCAACTCTCATTAGTTTACCATGACTGAGAATCCAGCTTTTCATTAAAAACAAGGAAAAGAAATAGGACTAGAGCTGCAGAGGAAGACCTGAAAAACCTGCCTGGAGGATATACAAACAACTCAGAAGCCTGAAGGAGACCCAAGTGTTACTAACTTCTAAATTCCAGAGTTTCTGAGCTGTATCTACACTATCAGAATTTCTAATAGATTAAAAATTGCAGTTATTTGAAAAAGAAATTCAATTTTATGCCACCATGTTGGCTGGACAAGCAGAGATGAGATTTTTGCCATGGTTTTGGCTGTTAATTGTAAATTATTCTATTTTAACCATTATGTGCATAGCAGAGCTGAACATTTTTATGCCAAGGGTATTACATAAGACACAGAGTTTGAATCCAATCAAAAGCATCATGAGAGCACAGGAAGACAGGACATTTACACACAAAAGACTGACCTTCTTTGGTGGCAAGTCGTGAGGAAGCTTCTGTGTGGGCTGGAGTATTGTAGACCAGCAGTGAGCTGCCTGTAATAAAAAGAAAAGGAGGGTTTTTTTTCAGTTTTAATGCTCCCTGCCAGTGGGGAATCATGTAGGCAGGTAGGAAATGGTAATTTCTCAGACAATTAATCACACATTTTCTGTGATGGATGTGAAATTCTTGTAAAAGAATCTTTGGTAGCTCTGTGTCACACCTGCATGACCATTTCTCCACTTGCAAACCAAAATAAAGACATTTGGCTCCTTCACTGAGCACCTTGATGTCCTCCTGCTTTGTGGAATTCAAAAATACTTCCCTTGTTTCAAACAAAACTCTTCAAAAGGAGCTCAAAAAGGAACCTAGTGGAAGGGTTTGTGTTTTTCAGTGTTTTACAGTGGAAATGTTCCTTTTTAAGCATTTTACTTTGGTTTTCCTTCAGACTCTTCTGGCAATGAAGGAAGAGGCCCTGGGAGCTCTTGGAAGCCAGCATGAAATACACATTTCATGGTTGTCTAGTTAGATGTGTTTACCCTACACAGTATTCTAGGCTCACCTTTCCTGCAGCTCTTTGGGCCAGTTTCTACTGCATCAGGCAGTGACACCCCTAACAAGGCAGAAGACCCTTCTCTGTAGAGGCTGCTGGGGTGAGCTGGAGCAGGGCACCAAACTTGCCACGGAGGGGTATAAAGAAGTGCTTTTACAGATAATTTCATCTATTCCTATCTACACAGCCCTCTGCTGGGTGAGATTCTGCCCCATTGAAGGGACTCGGTCCTAGGGGACACACAGCAAAGAGGACAGATTTGTGTGGCTGCCCCTGAGCACCCCCAGGTTCTTTGGCAGGGCTCAGAATCCCTCTTTTGCAGGTACTCTAATACTAATTGATAAGGATCTCATGACTAAGCCATGCAATCCCAAATAGTGCTGACCTCTCTTGCCCCTCAGTAGTACTCCCAGGATGTCTCGTTTTCCTGGCAGCTCACTGCCAGAATAACCATTGCAGGTGCTGGATCTTACTGGCCCCATCTCCCCAGGGATTTCTTTTCTCCCCCAAATGCACACGAAGCCAAAGACACACACAAGGCAGCCTGGATGCAGAGGTAGGAGGTGTTGGAAAAACAAAGCCTGCTCATAAGGACTGGAGGATGGATGCTACCAGGTGCTGCAAGATGGGATGTTTCAAAAGATTGGGATGGATAATGTGGTAATCTAGGAGGGAAAGAGTTCAAAGGGTTTTCCCTTGGCTGTGAAAGCTGCAGATAGCCAAAGACTGGCTTAAATATTCAGAGAGACTGGCTGGTCTTTTGCTGCTGCTGGAGGAATGGCAACAGCTTTGTCCACCTAACTCATTTTTTCATGGTTTCTGGCTTTGGAATTTCTTTCTTGAATATCTGTGGGCAAACTCCTGTCCACCACTCTCTCCTTTTTCAGGTTATTTGAAGTAGATCCTGAATGCAACACCCAGCCTTGCTGCCCCCGCCAGACAGGGAAGTGCTGGGGAATTCAGCAACAGGGTTTTCTATGACTAAATAGGCTGCAAATGCCTGGTTGCACTGACTGGCTGGGGGTGGGGTGATGAATAGCACTGAACAAGTCTGTAGAATCAACCTATAGCTACTTTACACTAAAAAATGCAGCCCAAGCCACTGGAAAGGGACGGCGCCTCCCCCAGTTTAATTGCTAAAAGTTCTCACCTTTGCCCGACAGTCTGAGGTTTCTGGTGGGAACACCACAGAAAAGGAAATGTGTTTCCTATTAAGGGTTTTCAGCGAAGGAAGAAAAGAGAGAAAGCCAGAGACAGAGATCAGGACAGAGAGAAGCAGACAGACAGAGGCCAGGCTGCTCCTTCCCTGGTTATTGGGCAAAACTTTGGCTGCGAGGAATTTTCGTTTAGTTCTTATTTCCCCCTGCCCCTCGTTGAGTCAATGACACCTTAGATTAAATCAGCTGGTATTATTAATAAAGTGCAGGGCTATTCTCCTGTAATTAATATTAAACATGTTGTCTTATTCCCCCGCCCAACTTTTCCTTTCTTCTTTCATTTCACTTGCCTCAGTTAAAAAGGAAGATGGAAAAGGACTGAAAAAAGAGCAGGGGAGTCTTTTCCCCACAAAACCTCCCTTTTCACAAGACAGAGCATCCTTCTGAGATGCAGGAACATCTTGGTTTCACCACCTTGAACTCCGTTTCATCTGAAAGTCTCTTTTATCCTCACCTGCAAGGCCACGTGGCCTTCCCTCCACGTCTCCTGGTAGAACCAGGGTTCTGCTGCATTTAGCAGTGGAGTTTTGTTTGGCATTAATACGTGGCTCGAAACCACAAAGCAGTTTTCTGCTTCTGCTTCTCACCACAGTCTCATTCCTTCCCCTTCAGGCTCTTTTCGTTTGTACACACCACACCAACCCGACCCCCCATAACTGGAGAGGAAAAGGACAGGGGGTGACAGTTCAGGTTCCTTTTGATGTTCATCCCAAACATAGCATGAAAACATTCAAATCTCCCTTCCCCTGGAGAAGGTTCACCAGGCAGACTGTGTTTGAAACAGATACTGGCACAGCAGTCAGCCAGTCTGGAGTCTGAAGGTGCAGAGGGTTGAACAAGAAGTAGGAGAAAAAGCCAAGGCATGGCCTCACAGTGTTGGAAACTGGGAGAAAAACTTAGAGAATTTTTTAGTGGGGGGGTGGACAGTAAGTGCCCTGAAAAAACTACTAGGAGGTGTTTTGAAAGACTCCAAAGGATAGAGTGTGTGAGTTCTGAAATCTCCTGAAGATCTGAGCTGTCTGAATTCCTGGCTGCTTCACTAGGTCATGGAAACAGGAAACAACTGCACGAGTCTGATTGGGACCTAAGTTTTGCCTGAAGACTAAAGGTGCTGTGATACAAGTTTGGTTCAGTCTCGACTACATTAAATCCCTCACCTGAACCTTACAGCTCCAAAACTAAGTTTGAGCTTTTGATGAGGTCGTGGGGATGTTAAAGGTCTATTTTTTCAACCTGGACTCAGATATGCCACAATAACAGACTTCAGCAGCAGTTCTAAGAATGCTTTCACCCTGATTAGGAGCATAAAAGGTTGAAAACATTCTAAGGAAGCTAATTTCCCAGGGGGTCTCCTTGCCTGGCTAGCAGACAGGCTCATAAAGCTCCTATCAGAGCTTTGTTTCTTGGAAAGTAAACCCCAATGTTGAGGATTTGCTCGTCATCACATATCCAGCTTAATTTAACACCCTGTGAGGACCAACACCTTTCCCAGGAGAGGCTGGGCATATGGAGTCTAGCCTATGAATCTGCAACTCCTCAAAGTCCTCCTGTGTTTTCTTGCCCTCACGTATCCTCCACCCTGAGCAGGAGCAGAGCTGGATGTCTCTGAAACAAACAACCTTCCAGGAGGGGAAAAAAAAATCATTAAAAAAAAAAAAAGCCCATCTCCCCGTGGCACTCAGAGGCTCAGCACTAAACATCCGCCTGGAAATGGGGCTGGAAAAACAATAAGCTGCTTTTGGAGCCGTTGCTCCACGAGGGAGTCACCCAGCAATGCAGAAAGCAGCCTGGCCTTGGGCAGTGCCTGGCCCAGCTGCAGGGGAAGGAAGGTTCTGAAGAGCCACCAGCAAAGCTGCTTGGGTTTGCACGGGCTTAATAGCATTGAAATCATGGCAGGTATTCCCCTGGCACAGAGGAACTGAGGTTTATCCCTCCTAATTCCAGGCATTTAAAGGTGATGTGTGAACTAGGGGATTACTAGCTTGAATTTCAACGTGCCCTGTTGTTTCTTTGCTATAAACAGAGACTGGTGTGAGCAGACTTCTAATCTGGGGACTTCAGGTATCTAAAGATGGGGAGGATCAATCAGGAATTTGCTCCCGAGCAAATGGACAGGGGCAAATGGTCAAGGTGGCAATTGAATCCAGGTCTCCAGGTTTATGCTGAGAGAGCAAGGATGCAATTCCTCTGATACTCTCTTTGAACACCCCAAGTGACCTGACACTTGAGACGACCGCTGGAGACACAGTCTGGAGCTAAAGCAACAGAAGGATTCAGCTCCTCCACCAACCTTTGTCCAGTTCAGCCTGATCCTGAGTCAAAAACCATCCAACTCCTTCTTCATCTCTTAATTCTCAAGTCTTATCAATGAGACAATTCAAGTGTCTCACTTGAGCATTTATCTTGTGGGAATTGAAACACAGTTCCGGTTACAAAGCCTCTGATCTGCCCAGCCAAAGTCAGCAGGTTTGGGCAAAGCCTTATGATCTCCCACAGAAGTGTGCAATTCTGTAATTAGGGAATTAAATTGTCATTTGCAAAGCCCAAATTAGTCTGCACTCGTGGGGAGGTGTTCTGGGAAGCTGCAGCTGATACAAGAGGGTGAAGTTTGCACGTTCTTTTGGATGGGAAGTTATGGTATTGTGCAGGGATAAAACCTTCAAATCCAACAGTTGGGTTATTTGATGTGAATCATTTCCTTGGCTCCACTTCTCAAAACAAAACAAAAAACAAAGGTGGGGCTTACAGTGACACTCATCTGTGATCTGACTCCTGTCCCCCTGTAACCTGTGAAACCCCCACTGATTTTACCAGAGGCAGGGAGGTATCAGGGCTGAACAGCTTTAGAGACACCCCCTAAATAAAATCTCTCTTGCTGGTTTTTTGTAGGGGCCAGATGGAGACATCTTCAGCTGCCTTTGCTTCACAATTTGATTTCCCAGTGGAGAAAATACATTTTTTTCCTTTCTCTCCTTGCCCACCCTACTTTGCTTTATGGCACCTTCTCCTGATTTGTCACTCCTCAGGTAATTATACTCCTAGAAAACTGTTGCACTTGAAAAAGTGCTGGAGCATGTGGGATTTAGCTCCAGCACTCTAGCCTCATCATAACACAATTATCCTTAGCACACCTTTGTGAAGAAAGGAAATGCTTTAAAATCCACCCTGTAGATTTCTAGGAGACATTTGGAAATGATGGACATGCTCATGGTCACACAGGAAGTCTTAGAAAGGTCTGAATCTAAGACTCAGAGCCTCAAGAGCATGTGTTAACCATAGGGGATTTGGGGAATCACTCTTGTATTTTTCCCTCTTTCCAACAAATCTCAGCCTCCAGCAGCATTGAAAATCTCCAACTCTGGCCAGTTGTGGGTCCTCTTGTGAAGCGGATTTTACCAGAAGCTTTTGGGGAAAGTGCACGGCCCTCTAACTGCAAAGTTATGGAATAATTTGCCCGTGACCCATCAGTTAATGTTTGGTTTAATCTCCAGAGCAAATGTATGTCTCTTTATCACATAGTCACAGATGTTTTTATAATCTGTAAGACTATCTAATCTTCTTCAGAGTCCTGCTCAGCTCTTCACCTCCCTGATAGCACCACTGACTCCAAGTTAAAATTAACTTTCCAACCCGCTCTTTATTATTCCTTGTTTGCTCCCTCTGTTTGCCTTTCTCTGCTCTTTTTCCTTCATCCTTGCTGCTATTTATCCAACAAGAAGACCTCAAGAAGTTCAGTCTTTATGGCAGCTTATCCTATCAGCATGTGATGAATAAGGGCAATACTCACTTTCCCTGAGGTAACTGAGGTGAGACAACAGGACTTCTGTGTTGTAGGCAGAGGTGGTTCGAAGGAAGTCATCCTTATTCATTTTGCAGAGCTCCTTGCCATCCATGTTCTGGAAGATGGTGGTGTCAATCTCCATTAACCCATACTCCTTTATAGCCCATTCCAGCCACTGGCGCACGTGTTCCTGGGTCCAGAGGGTGGGATCTGGCAGGAAAACACAAAGGGTGGTAGCACTATGAGCAAGCCTCAAGCCCCTACTGCAGCCCCATCGAAGCACTAATCGTTGTTTCCACAACCAAATGGATTTAATTTACTGATTCCAAGGCATTTCACCAATTTGAGCAAGTCCTGTACAAGACTCAAGGCCCAGAGACTGATCACAACGACCTTCTGACTGTCTCCCACCTGCCTGAATCTTATCAGCAATATCAACGACGTTTGACTGTGGCTTTTCTCCCTCTGGAAAAAAAAGAAGAAAAGCTCCCAAAAGCAAACTCACCCCTTTGAAAGGGTGCAGCTTTGCTTCTGTAATGCTAGAGAATGACATCAGTGCTGGAGAAGCCACACCATCCTTCTCAAGTGCATTACAAAGTCCCAACAGATGGCATTTTAAAGTCTGAGGACGGTGGTATTTACGGTCAGCAAGGGGACTCTGAAAAAATACATTATTGCTGAAACAGAGCAGCTTGCCATGGATCTCTGAGTCACATTTGCTCACCCCGCTGACAAGAACACAATTCTACCTCTGCTAGCCCTGGAAAACCAGCACAGCCATGGGAGGGCAATGTGGATTTTATACTGTCTCATGCATCACTATCAACTGTCAGCAAAGCTCCAGCTGTGGAATCTTTATTACTGGCAGTGACGTCAGGGAGAGATTGAACCCGGCTGGAGTTTCAGACCCCATGGTGATGGTTTGCTGCAGCAGGAGTTAAAAAAAGAAATCACCCTTTGAGTTTTGCAAAGGGCGTTAGATCAGAAAGTCCCAGCAAGAATTTGTGCCATGATACTGTTTTCACAGAGTCATTTTCAGAGCGTATCTGCCTTTTCAGATGTTTCCTGTGCTGCTTCTCCCCGTGGATCCCACTTGAAAATTTTAAGCTGCGAATTCATGTCCTGTGGCAGCTGGAGAAGGCTGCAAAGTCAAGCCTTAGCTTTGGAGACGTTTGGCCTGTCCATCACTGCTGGGACATTCCTCTAAGACAAACCTCAAACGCCTCAGATCCTGAGAAAATGGATCAGAAACACGGAGCCACCACACACCTGGCAGGTTGGGCTTTGGAGAGGGACAAAATAAGCCCCTGCCACACCTTTTATAGGGTATAAAACAATGCCTTGGCCCAGGACTGCGTGTGCTTGGGCTGCAGGGATCCCTCCACACAAAAGGTCAGGTAGTGGCTGTCCCTGGTGCATTCCTGGGCAGCTGAGTTCCAGACTACCAGCACAAAATGGGGAAGTAAGATCAAGGAATATTAAAATTATAACCGTGACGCTTCCTGGATTAATTTATAACAAACCAGCTTGCTTAAAGCTGAATTTTAAACAGAGAACTTACAGCCCCATATCTTTACAAGTCTGCTTTGGGGAAAAAAAAAAGATGGATTTCCTCGAAATTTTGGCCATAGCAAATTTAAATTCTGCTTTCTAAGCACTGGCAAAAGCCTGTAAATTTTACAATGCAACTATTCAAGGGAGGATTCTTTTTTTCCTCTTTTTTTTTTTAATTGAAAGAGTTATTTGTCTGGAGTTTTGAAAAACCCCCAACGTTTAGAGGGCATGGCGAATTTGTGGTCTCCCTTTAAACAAACACTTTTGAATTTCAGATATTCGTTCAGCCTATTTATCACTGCAAAAGACACTGAATGGGCTCTGAAAAGCTGCCTTCGTGAAACACGGCTTAGAGTTCATGATTATTCCTCTTGCAAGCCTAATGTGACATTATTCTTGCCTATCTTCACCCTAATGTGCTGTAAATCATTACTCTGGATTATATTAAAATTTCCAAATGCCTTTCTTGGCTGAATTTGGCCTCATATCCTGCAGCCAGAGATCTTGGGATGCTGTTCAGTATTGTCTTCCAAAGTCTGGTAAATCATTGCTGTTTCACAAGTACCTCAAGGTTTTGATTTGTGGGTGCTCGTGAGGGGGGGGGAAATCCTTTTTTTTTTTTAAAAATTTTTTTTCACTTTCCTTCAGAGAGGAGATTTGAAACCTTCTGTTCACTGAGGGCACTAAAAGTCATTTCCCCTACCTATAACAACTCCAAACTTCAGCCTACCCTTGGCCTTTTTAAATATGCATCAATAGAATGGTGAAGAGCAGCATAAATGCTCCCTGTTGACTACCTTTAATAATACAATGAGTAGCTGGTGGCAGCTAACACCTTTCTAGGCCATTATTGACACTGAAAACATCTTCTGATGTTGTTCCCAGTTGGGTTACTGGTCCCTCCAAGCAGATCCTAACAACGGCTTAAATGGTACTTCAAGATTTGCTGTCAATGTTTTATTGGCTTCCCTTCACTCCGTTCAATTCAAGCTTTTCTTTTTCATCCTAAATGGCAAACAAATGCTTGGGAGTTGTCATCTGTTCGTGGTCAAGCCACAATCAGACAAGAGAGTTAAATTCCACAAGTACATTTCTTTCTGCCAACAGTTCCTCTGCTCGAATCAGCTCCATGAAGAAAAAGCTGCACCCCTTGAAAACAGGGGCAGTTTGGGTCTGTAAATTGGGCCAGGACTTGGCTTGTAGCATCTCCCTTTGCTGGCAAGTTCCTGGGCTAGCCTGTTTATAGCACTGGTGTTTATAAACCTTGCAGAGAAAAGGCTCCCTCTTGTTCCAGGTTCAGGCTTCACTGGTTGCCTGCCCCAGCAGCTCTCATCCTTGACTATCCAAATGGATCCAAAGCATCCTGCCAATTTCAGCCAGCAGATGTGGATATCACAGAGGACTGGACAGGAATGTTTCTGTGGAAGAGTTTTTGGAAGGATAATGGAGTTCCTGCAAAATAGATTTTTTTTCTGTTTTCTGCTTCTAACACGTGAAAACAAAATAGCCCATTTTGAATCAGGATGACATGAAAGGGCATCTGGACCCTCCAGAGCCTTATGGGAGTTATAATTTGTGTCCGTTTCATGCTCATTCATGCCTAAGAAGTGCTTTCTTTGATCACACCACACATCCCAGGAAGTGCTGCAGATTCTCCTCTAACACATGACAGGAGACTGATTTGGTTCAACACACTAAACCAACCCTAATTATTCACTTCTTATTCTGATGTGAGGTAGAACGTAGACTGGGACATGGGAAATTCCCACTAGGCAGAAACTCTGATATTTCCCTTGCTTTGTACATGGTTTGTGAGACAGAGAATTCCTCAGAAAAAGCCTAATCTGTTCAGCTGGATATTTAAGACAGCTCAAGGAAATAAGAGAGTTTGGTGGTGGTGGTACCTGCTGGGACAATGACTCTCCTCTCGTTGGTGGTCATGTTGGGAGGAGGTCCATTCTTCTCATCCATGTAGGTGCTGTAACTCATGGGGTTGGACTCTGTCCCTGCTCCGACGAGTTTGCTGCATTTGTTCACACTACAGTCCACGGGGGACTCCCTGAAATGTGAAAGGAAAGAGATGAGTTGTCATTATTAGGCACCTTTCATCCCCACTGCAGCAGAAGGAGGTTTGGGTTACAGGAATGGCAAGTGTCCCAAAGGTGGGAAGTCAAGGGGAGTTTCTTTACAGGCTATTCCCAGCCTGTCACATGAGTGTCATATGGTGAGCTGTGAATCACAAGCCTCATGGAGGGGATCTCTGAGAACGAAATCCACAGGAGGAGAGTTGGAGGTGCAAAGAAGAGTGACTTTCAGGCAAGGGTTATGGCAGCTCTAAGGTGAAACAGCAAAGTTCACAAACCAGATAAAAGGCAGGTGCTTATGGCAAAGGTCTTATCAGTTACACCCCCCACGACCCTTCCACCTTTTCATAGAATCATAGAACCCTTGAGGTTGGAAGAGACCTCCAAGATCATCAAGTCCAACCATCAAGCCAACACTACTAAGTCCTCTGCTAAAACAGATCAGAATCTGTCAGGGCTGGAAGGGACCACAAGGATCCCCCAGTTCCAACCCCTCTGCCATGAGCAGGGACACCTCCCACTAGATCAGGCTGCCCAGAGCCTCCTCCAGCCTGGCCTTAAAGACCCCCAGGGATGGGGCCTCAACCACCTCCCTGGGCAACCCATCCCAGGGTCTCACCACTCTCCTGGGGAAGAACTTCTTCCTCACATCCAGCCTGAATCTGCCCACTGCCAGCTTTGCCTTTTATTGCTCTGTTGCATTTTAGGAACCCTTGAGCTACAGCCTGATGCTCCTAGGAGCCCCTGTTGCACTCTTCCACTGCACTAAACACAACAGAAGGGTTGTCCTCCTCACCTCTCCACCTCAGGCACTTCTGCAGGGCTAAGCAGCAACACAGATGCACCTCTCTTCATTTCCTTCACACACAGGGCCAAAGTGACAGGATGGCCATTAGAGAACACTACAATATTAGCATGGCATCTAAAGAGTATTATTTATACAGGCTTGGACGTAATGGAACTTGTCTGTTCTTAACAGCTGAACAGTCCCAGGCTTGTCTACTGCTTGGATAAGAAATCTAGAAATCTTAGGTGCCTTAGGCATGAGTCAAGAACTTCAGACCACAGAAACTGTGTGCAAAAAAAAAGGCTCTGGCTCCAGTTCTACTTCTGAGGCGATGGAGTGATGAGGAGGGAACATTTAGCAACTCAGGTGGCACTGTGCTAAGACCTGGACTACATGCAGACCCTTGGCAAGAAATAGGCTTTCTCTGTCCTGCTCCAGGAGAATTATGAGCCTCCAAACCACAGGCAGAGAGCACAGATTTTGTTTTTCTCCAGCTGCAGGAGTACCTCAGGCTTTTTTTTGCTCTAGAGTTCACCTAAAACACCAGCTCACAGCCTGCTGCAGGCACAGAGCACACCCCAGCCCTGAGGAACGTGCCAGGGAAGGGCAGCCTTGTTGCCCTCACCTTTCCAAAGGAGAATTAGTTGCAAAATGAGCACAGAACCCATACCCAGTGCTGGTTAGTCCATGGCTTTCATCTCACAGCCCTCCTTCTTCCCTGCCAGAAGCAAAGTGGGGAAAACCATTCCCTGCAGGGTAAGAGCTGCACCAGATCCCACCCTCCACGTTCAGCTGGCAAGGCTTCCACGTTTGGACATTAAACAAATTTGTTTCTTAATCTGAATTGGGGGGGAGGGAGAAATTACTGAAATTCAGTTATCATGGCTGGGAGATAAATGCTCCACCGAGATATTCTAAGGCAGATGGTAATTTTTTCCTCATGTCTTACTGAGGGAATGTTGCTTGAAAATGGAAATAAGATGTATAACTTACACATGTTCGAATTTAAGGTTTTACTATTTCGCCTACTGTTTTTCCAGGCAGGGAACCAAAATCTGCCTTCAGAGAGGCAAACTGCTGAAGGTTTAATGTCCCCGTGGCAGTCAGAGGAGAGTCTGAGCAACTGCAGGGACACCAGGGTTTTCACAGGGAATGTGATCATTTCTAACTCTCTGCTGAAATGCTCTGTGTCAGGTGTTAAACGCTGCCTGTACTGGCAGAGAAAAAGCCCTGAGGCAGCACAAAGGATCTTATTCTCTCCTGAGGTACAGGCTGTCCTGAAAAGACTCGGTGAAATGGCCAGAGCATCCGTGCTCCGAGGTGTCAGGCTGTTCTTGGGGCTCACTGAGCTCCTCTCCTGCCCTGCCTGCAGCCCAGGAGCTGACTGGCAATGGTGTGGGCAGCCCAGCTGGTGGGGCAGACCCCAGCACACCCAGCCCCACGCACGGATTCTCCCTCCTTCAGTAGAATTCTCTTTGCTTTCCCTGCAGTCAGCACACCCCAAGTCCTAGCACTGCTGGCCTAAGGTCCTTCTGAGGGGTTTATTTTCATCTCCCCTCCTCTGCTGTGAAATTTCCCTGGAAAATAACCCCCACTATGGAGAGACACAGAATTTATGACAAAACACTCATGAAAATAATACTCATACAGAACTAGAGAATATATCCAGACTTTCAGATTATAACATCTCCTAAAAATCCCATCTGCTTAGGGGTATTCATACTGTCTACAGCATGAAATGACAGAGATGAGAAGACCACAGGGCCCTTGGCTGTCTCTGCTCTCTCGAAGCACATTCACATGACCGATACAGGAAAGTCATAAAAATAGCACCAATGCCCTAAGATATCTCCCTGGTGGTTTTGTGATGATTTTTCACTCTGCAGACTCTTGGCTGGGCAGTTAGGACCCTGCCTATCCTCCACCTCCCTCTTTATATCCCAGCAACCAGAAACAGATTGTTGGAGACACATCTGAGAAGAAGTTTAAGGGGCTGAGGTGCCCTTGCTAGCTGCAGATTTGGGGAGAGAAGCCCCTCTGTTAATCCTGCAGGATGTTGAAAGTGCTCCAGGGACCAGACACGGTTGTGTCCCTGTGGCTGCCCAGATGCCTCTCTTCCCTCTGAGGGGTTTTTGAGGATGCTTGGATCCAGAGCTAACCCCAGTGGAAACCTGACAGCAGAAGGAGAGACATAATACTAAAACTTAACTGGGCAGGAGGTGGATTTTTAAGAAAAATACTATGAAATTTTTAGTGGGGAGATCCTTACTTTTGTGTCCTCTCTAACCCAGCGTGTGCTGCCAGATCCAAACAGAGCCTTTCATTGGGAAAGGAGGCAGCACTTCCAGACTGAATCATCTTTGGAGCTCCTGGATGGCCCCAGCCTAAGATGAGGGATTTAACAGTGCCCCAGCAGAAGGTCGATGTAGCTGTGGGCAGCACAAAGAAGAATTCAGCGTGGGGAACAACTCAAATGAGAACAGGGAGCTGGGAGCCATGAATAGTGTATTCATGGGATATAGCTCCTTTCTTAGCTCCTGCACTGCCCACAAGCAAACGTAGATTTATGTAGAGATTTCCTCATTATTTGAAAGGGTTTGTGTGAGGGGATTCCAGATGCCAGGTTAATCCTTGACTTTTCATAGAGACTTCAGGCTTTCCAATGGCTACACACGCTGGACTTGCTCAATTTCTGGGCAGAAAGGGCTGTAGATCTACAGAGGTAAATGGATATAGGCTGTTTTCACAAGGTCTCTTAAGCATAGTCACTGTGGTAGTGGCAGAGTCCAAGGAATATGAAGCAGTTCTCATTCCTGCTGTCTGTCCAAAGACTCTTCGTTCCAGCAGCTCCAGTAGCAGTCTCTGGGGATGCCAAGGGCTTGGTGTTTTGGGAAAGTTTACACTAGACTGGCCAAAATGGACAAGCATCTAGGCTGGCATTGACTAATAAATCCTCTGTACAGCTCCAGCCTGTGTTCCAGGTACCTGAAAATAAAGCAATAGCTGTCCCAGGGCCTCTGTCTAGGAATCACCTTTGGCTGTCATTCGAGAGAGCAAAATAAGGGATTTCAGTGATTTCTGAACCTGACTCAGCCATGGGATGTTTCCTCCTCCTTTCTATCCCTTTCTTCTTATTTTTCATCCCTCCTCTCTTCCCATCTTTTTTATTCTTTTCAAATCTATCTCTTTTTGCTGCAAATCCCCTTTTGGTAATCTCAGCTTTAATCTTTACGTTTAAAATGATATTTTAATGATTTTTTTTTTTGGTCCAGTGAAGGAAGTCAGAACAGACATACTGTGATTCTGCTTTTGGGCAGGGAACAGAGCTTTTGGGGCAGAATCACAGCTCCTAGAACTGCACTTCAACCCAGCCTCCCACCCTGCTCTTGAGAACTAACGCAGGAGCAGGTTCACTCTGAAAAGGTTTGAGTCTGCAGGAAGAAGGGACAGCTGTAAAAGGGATGGGAAAAGATCCCCAAGTTCCAAACCTCATGAGAAGAGCACAGAGGCTCAGTAGGGTCTATCAGAACCGTGTTTATCACATACAGGTGAGAACAAACAGTAGCTGCTGGACTAGAACACTGCAGCAAATCCCACTAGAGGGCTCACACGCTGCTTGAGGGAGATTTTTAGTCCTCCAGACATCAGAGATAGTCCCTTTGTTTTGTTTTGAGAAAACTACTCTGGCATAGAAATGTCCTGAGACTCCTGAACCTCAGAATATTTAAATATTCTGAAGCAAGAAAATGTCTCCAAAGCATTTGCAAAGCACTGAATTCGTTATTTTAGCTCAACAAATTCACAGCATCAGTTGGAACTCCCTAGTGAAACTTCCCTGCATCCGTGTACACATCCAGCACTCCAGAATATTCTTCCATGTTTGAGGATTACACAAATTTTGTAATGTCTTCTTAAAAATCACTCTCTGAGTTTAGCTGCAAATGCAGATCTGTAGCAGCTCACTAAATGCAGGCAGAATTTGGAACATCTGTTGCTTGATTCACTCTTTCCTTTTGGAATTTATGTAAAATAAAAGGATAATTATTATTAAAATGAACCGTAAATTGGGTTAAATGTTGCCCAGCATTTTTCTAGACAATCCTCCTCTTGTATTCACTGGAATTTAAAATGTGGAACATTTTACAATTTTTTAAAATACAAATGATTGGGTTTATCAAAGCATCTAAA